GCATTAGCAAAACTGTCCAACGGCCTAGATCTACAGAACCTGAACACCAATCCGGGGATAGCTCCTCTGAAAGTTGGGATGGCAGTGATCAGGAATAACTCGTGGACCATTTTGAAAACATTAGATTTAAAGTTGGTAGTTGAACAAATAGATATTAATACTGAACAATATAATTGCGTAAGTAAGAACCAGACATATACACATACTACAAAATAATACCAATTCCAATATCTAATTCCGATGTTACCCATATCATAATCCCATCATATCCTTTCCTATTGGTGAAAAGATTGAAATACCGATCAGCGGTGAGTCCCTGTGAAGAAATCGACGATGAAAAGTTCTTATGCCCAGAGGAAAGTCTCGCAGAGTATCCAGCTGAAACATGTATTGAGCAAATAATGCAGATGAAAACCAACCACAGTAGCTGCCAGCAACATAATATACGATTGGAGAATTTGAAAATCCAGAGGATCTTCAAGAACTATTGGTTACTGTATACCACTAAGGACTTGATAATAACTGAACACTGTCCAGAACATGTACAAAAATACCAAGTGCAAGGCACATATATCATGATACCTAATCAAGAATGCAGAACACAGGTTGGAGACACATTCATCAACGCTCCGAGGTACTTTGCGAATATCAAACTTCAGCTTCCCACAATCGAGATGCCAACTGTACGAGAGGATGACATCAAGAAAGAAGCAAAACAGTTAGATTTAAGAAACGTGGACTTCAGTGATATAAAAGAACTAATAAATAGTGCTAAATTCAGTGATAACGAAATAAATACAAAATTCTTAGTAACAAGTGAAATCAGTGTATGGACCATAAGTTTATATCTCATTATAGTAATCTGTATAGTATGTAGCATTTTAATTAAATTCAAATTATGTTGTCGAAATTCTCCGAAGTCGCTTGAGCCACCTTCGGATAATTTCTCTCTTGAGGGGGGAGGAGTTAAGGCTGAGCACCCCTGCCAAATCTCATTCGTTCGCACATCATCAGCAATCCCATCTGGGTCAAACGTATGCAGTAAATAAGCTTAGTAAATAGTTTTGTAGCATATAACTTAAGTATAAATAGACAATTGTAATCATTTAAAATCGAATATTGTAGTAATAAACTTCTTACTGTAACTCTGTCAAAATAAATAAATATATTTTTTATTGAAGTTGGGTTCATTATCTTAATTCGCGCGTACTGTCAAATTTACAGCGAGCGCTTAGCCCCTGAGCTACCGCGGCTGACCTGGTGGAAGCTTTCAATGTGGCCTTATTTGGATTTAAGATAATCATCAAAGACCATTTATTCTATTCTCTCGAAAAATGGTTACCTCTTCCTTAGTTGAGATCATAAATCACGAAATATGAAATAATGCTTAGCTGTTGTTAAATATACAATAAAAACACAACGAAAAAAATAAACGTATCAAAACGCGGGCAATTGTTTACGAAGCAAATTGAAGACGAAATGTGTCGGTCGAGCGACAGATCATAGGGCCGCCGGAAGCCTCGCCCCACGCACTGTGCAAGAGACTTTTGCATGCCTTTAATAATTTAAATTCATTCAAAAAAGTTTCTTGTATGCCGCTACCACAATGTAGATATTTTCACTAAGACTACCAAATCTAAAACCAAATTCAATCAAGAACGATTTGATACACAATACACATACTTACTACATTTACAGCGAGTAATTCGGGTTCGACCCCCGCCGGCACCAACGACATTGTTAATTGCAGTTTTAAGTTACCACGTGCTTACTTTACCACCTGCTCGGCGGTGAAGGAAAACATCGTGAGGAAACCTGCATGTCTGAGAAATAAGAAAAAATATTTTGAAGACATGTAAAGTTTGCCTGTGCCCAGCTGTGGGACGTATATAGGCTGTAACTTCAACTTTAACACATACTTACATGTTTTATATTTTAGATACCTAGTTGCACTGCAAATTTTTAACTTATAGTGACATAAACACCACGCATTACATTACATAAACAAATTCGTCCTTTTTTTAAAGAATAAGGATGACAAACGAGCACACAGTCCACCTGATGATGAGTGGATGTTGTGGCCCACAAATATCTAAATTTATCTTTGATTAAGAATCAAAATGCAGATTCGTTGTCACCCTTGAGGACTAAGATGGGAAGCCACGTTTCCAATAAAAATAGTATTAGGTTCTCTACACTCAGAACAGGGATACAACAGAGCAGGGATAGACTGCTATTTAACGCTGGTATTCTGTGAGAGCATGGTCCTACCCCGCTGAAGCTGACCCATTCGTGCTACAACTATAATATAACTGCAGCGTTGCTCAACCACAGACTAAAGGTCCTTCCTAATCGATGCTATCCCAGATCAACTGGCTAATTAATTACTGCCCGTACAACTGGCTGTTCAAGTGCTGATTTACCACGTACTTAGTGTTAAAGCAAAAACATCTTGATTTTTCATCATCAATATTCCAAGGCTTTGAGGCCTTTGAATACTCCGCATGAAACACGCCCGCAGTAGTTGGGTTAACTTCTCCACAATCCTCTTGGAAATGCTTGAAAGCCTAACTACGCCCAGCAGTTGACGTGTTTGGGTTGGAAGTTTAAATATTAGCCGTAGTCGGGATTGCAACCCGGAGTAACCCGTGCCTTATTTGTAAGATATTCTCACCACTAAACCACCAAGGCTCGTGGTCAAACACTTTTAGAATACAGTATTAACTTAACTGTTAACTTAATGAAACATAAGCTAGTCAAGTTTACAAATATAAGGGATTCACGTTATATTTTATTGTTATATTACATAGTATTTCCGCATGATTTCTTATATTTACGCGAACACTACACATTTAAATAAAACTAGTTTTACGGATTTTATCGCGTATATTAACTTATTTTATATTCCCGACGTTTCGAATACTTTACAGCACCCGTGATCACGGGGGAGGGGGGGTGGGGACTGAGGTTCCTAATGTATAGTGTATTAAGTATGACGTCCCAATGTCATAGTTAGCCATGGCTACCTCCAGATTAAAAATTATTAATTTTTGTTCCGATCTACGCAGTATGAACTTACAGTATCTTGAAGTCTTGCAGCTTGGGTTGGGATTTAATTTAAATTTTAATGTGCATTACCACATAACTTTTTTCTGCGTTAACCGATTTCGATGATTCTTTTTTTATTTGAAAGCTGGTACTTCTCATGTAGACGCGTATAAATTTGATCAAGGTCTGACCAATAATTTTTGAATTATTCTCAATAATTTATATTGAGTCGGTTGTACAAAATTTTGAAATTTAAATTATTATACTTATGAGACTCTTGACAAGTTTGTGTGAGCAGATTATTTTTTCAGAACATTAAAAGCTATCATTTCAATCGAAAGTATTCAGTAGGAGAGATTTTTAGTGTTAATGTTTTAGTATTAGTGTTAATGTTTAAGCAGGGTCTTGACTGTTTTCTTTTCTAAAATACCGCCCCCTGAAATCCACAACCCGAAACCATAGATCTTTACATCTTCTCCTCTTCTCGCTACGCCACTGTTATTTTCGTGTAACACATCATTCTAGCCCACCTTTGATCTTAGCGCATAGCGTATCGCGGGTTCGGACGAGAGTAATTCCCTGTCAGCGCGTACACTTCAGCATTATGAAATATGAAGCTACCAACAGTCAACAACGGAGAATATCAAATTATTAGAATTGCACTCTAGCGTTTAATGACTATACACTATAGTACAAACTGTAGGACTGCTGGCACTGGCTGCTGGTTTCGCTTGTCGGCGGCCCTCCATATTTAGTGCCGGTATACGGTCAGCCCCTTCGATGTTGTTGCATCAAACAAAAAACAACTTCCTAAACTCAACAACTGACATTTACAAGTTTTGAATTAATAAATACAACACTACGTACGTTTTGTAATTGCCAACTAAAATACTGAGTAATGGTAAAAGAGAGAAATAATTTTATTGCAATAAAAGATACAGAATTGAAAAAAGGGTATCTATAAGTAATTAAGTATAATTAAAATGTTAGTGGGATATAACGCTACTATCCATTCTGAACATAGGCCTCCCTAATATTTCATTATGGGGATATTTGTTAAAGTTGCCGAGCTTGGCAAGCACAGTTATTTATTATTTTAAATTATTATCAGGATGATGCTGCCTATCTCCTGATTCAGTTTTCCTCTGTCGCCTATGACATCCACGGTGTGATTTTGGAGTAGTAGAGTACCTTAGCTGCCTCACACGGCGCATATGAAAATAAAATTCTTTATTAAAATCTACAGCCCTTGAGCTACCATTGCTCTTAATCGGCTGTAAATTTCACAGTACGCGAGCAATCCGAGTTTGATCCCCGCCGGCACCAATGGAATTGTTAATTGCAATTTTAAGTGCTGATTTACCACGTGCTCGGCGGTAAAGGTAAACATCGTGAGGACACCTGCATGTTTGAAAAATAAGAAAAAATATTTTCTTATTTTTCAAACATGACTCAGACCTTCTCTCAGAAGTGAGAGAAGGTCTTGATGCGACGCAGGCGGCAGGTGCGTATCCCGCAGGGATCCCGCACGGGACAAAGATAATCGTATACTAACGCCCGAAATTAATAATGTATCTCGTATCCAAGATCGACCGCAGTCTTGGATTGCAGTGTATCGTTGGATTGGTCTTCAATCCGCGTGCCAATAACTCAACCCGGCAATCCCAATTTTTTTTCGACGACAGATTTCTAGCAATCCGTTCCCTCTTGACCGTTCCTTTTGATGTAAAATATCGATTGCATAAAACTTTATTAAGTGTCTTTTAAAACAAATCATTCACATAACTACTGAAAAAATGTTTCAAAATAATGTTTGTTGTTATAATATTATGCCTAAAAATTTACGGAAATTATAATTTCAGTCTAGTTTTGGTATTAAAACTATGACATTATTTAGTTGAAATGGAACGTGTGACGTAGACGTCTTGCATTTGAATTTGACAAGACGTTTTGATTCCGTTGCGAGTGCGAGTTTAGTTATTTCCGTGTAGCAGACTTCAAAAATATTATCTTCTTGTTATATATAAATTAGAAATTATAATATAATGGATTCAGAAATCGTAAGTACATATTGTTTTATCTATTAAGGTTCTAAGTTGCGCGCGCTTTCATAATGACGCTTATCATTCCCGCCTTATTTGTAACGTTGTTGTTAATCATTGTAATTTTCTTTTACTAGGTAAAAGGTAAACCTCTTACAAAAGAAGAGTCAAAGTTTTTGCTTGACCTAATAGAAGGTAGTAAAATAATTACCACCAAAACCACTAACGCCACCAACAACAAACTTAAAACTGAAGAGTGGATTCGTTTGGCAGAGCGATTCAATGCCACAGCCACGAATTTTCCAAGAACACCACAGCAGTTGCGTTTGAAGTGGGAAAATTTAAAGAAGAACTCGCGCAAGCGCAGCACCAAAATAAGGATGAACCAAATTAAGGTTACATACTTTAACACATAATATATATTTTATCCATAGTCTATAACTTCCAATGGAATGTTCTAAAATAATGTTAAATCTAATATTCTTATTGCAGACTGGTGGTGGCCCTGCTGACTATATACCCCCAGATGACATATTAGACCGGGTGACCAGTCTATTAGGAAGTACAGTCAGTGGGTTTACTGTACCGTTTGGGGGTGACAAGGAAATAGCTTGGTTTAATGTTGGTGGTGGTGGTGATGGTGATGGTGAAGGTGGAACAAGTGATAGTGAAAACTTAGGAAATGTGATGGTGCAGACACCACAAATTTTACAGACTTTTACAGACTTAAATGAAACCACAATCTCAACACCATTATGTAATGAAAAAGGTATTGAGAATGTGGTTGCTGATTACCAAGTATTAGAGGTGGTTGACCAAAATTTGATCACTCCGAATAAAACCAAGAGGCTTACATTTAGTACACCTAGAGCAGGTAATGGTTGTTTTTACGATTTTGGATTTATGAATGATAAATGCTTATTTTGATTAGCCCTCACGTTTTGCCCTTCCTCACTCTCTACATTTATGTGATAAAATATTTATTAATTGAACCTTGTTGAAGATTATTTATGTAAGGCTTATTTAATTGCATCTGAGCAAGTCACAGGGAAATTAGACTATGTCAGGCATAATCACTTGCGGAAGATCTTTTATTTATGAGATAAATGATTTATGTTAATAGGTATGATCTCATCAAAGTATCTTAACCACCTTACTGATTTGGGCATAATTGCTTATTTTTCACACTGGTCTCCTAGCTGAGATGACAGGATTTTATGAACACTGACGTCTTTGATAAAGTTAAATTATAAACACAGCCCCATTATACATCTATGATATTATTATATGCTAAATTTTATGAAAACAGAAATGAGTGCACTTATATTGATCTCATATTTGCTTCATATTCCAGTGAAAAAGAAATTGAAGAAAGATGAGAACAGGACTGCGAGGAACTTAGCCATAGCAGAATATTATTCAGCCAAAAAACAATGCTTAGATGCCACATTAAATAATATTAATTTAGAAAATGATAACTTAAAATTAAAAAATTTGGAGCTTAATTTGAATAACGAAAAACTTAAGTTAGAAACTGAGAAATTAAAATTAGAATTAGAGAGGTTAAGAAAGCAGCAATAATGTTTAGTATAGTATAATAATTATAATACTTATTTAGTCTGTAGTTTAGTAGTAGTAAATTTGAATATATAAGTGTAATTGTATAATAAATTTAGGAAACTTGGCATCTAAGTAGGTATTGTTTCCTGGCTATGTATGGCCTTATTAACCCAACCATCAAAGAATTGTTCTTTATATTTTATATTTGTTTTACAGAAGAGGGCCATAAGAGCAATCAATGATTTAAAACCTATTCGCTTTGACAAAAATTTAAGGAAATTAATATATTAACTTTGGCCTCTCAATACATTTATGAAAATGTAATGTACATTCACACGTACATATACATGTATATGCTTTTATAACAAAATCCCAGAAAACATACAAACTTTGATTTGCTCAAAGTTCAAAAACTTTAAACTATGTTTGTATAAAAAGGGTTATTATAAGGAATTTATGGATGATAATAACCCCTGAGGTGATTGTGAGAATCTATTTTTTTTTTTTAAAAACGTTACCCCCACTCTAGGATTTTCTCCTGTATCGTGGAGGCAGTTTACAAACATATATCGCACAGGGACAAACATCCAGACCCGGAACAATTATTTGTAGGCCATACAAATACTTGTTCAGTGCGGGATTCGAACCCGCGGCTCCAAGCGTTGCAACTCATTGCTATGCCACGGAGCCGTCGAATGATTGTTTTGTGTTGTTAATTGTGTAACATATATGATTTTAAGCTGTTATTTTTTTAACTCCCGCTGGGTTTCTTGCTGGTTCTTCTCAGGACAGAGGTTTTTTCCGAACCAGTGGTAATTAAACATTTCAGTAAGTATTATTTATAATCTACATTTAATAAAAAAGTTTCTATTTCTACTGTCTAAATGATATAGTGGTAATGAATAATATTTTAACATTGAATTTAAATGAAATTGCTTAAAATAAAAAATTTTATCACCATCATATGATTGTTTATTTTTATACTATTATTTTGAATAAACTAATTTGACAGATTTTATTGTCTTTAATTTGTACTTGTTTTTAATTCCTAAACTTTCAATAACTTAAAACTATTGGTCCGACCTTAATCAAATTCATATGGGACCACATGAGAAGCACCAACTTTCAAATAAAAAAAGAATCATCGAATCGAATCATCAACTAAGAAAAAGTTTTGGGGTAACACATACAGTCGAATTGAGTACCTCCTCCTTTTAAAAAGTTTGTAGAAAATAATTTTAAAATGCATACAGTGAATATAATAGTAATTTGTATGTGGTAGAGCCATGCTGCAGTTATATTAATAGTATAGTTGTAGAACGAATGGGTCGGCTCGGCCAGGGAAGGACCACGCTCTCACAGAATACCAGCTTAACACTGCTGTTTCGTATGGTGACTGTAGGGAACTGGCGACCCTTTTTACTGAAAAGGGGCATTCCATCTTGGTCCTCACGGGTGACAACGCATCTGCATTTTGATTCTTTATTGAGGATAGATATGGGTGTCTGGGTCACAGTAACTGCTTACAATCAGGTGGATCGTGTGCTCGTTTGTCACCATATCATGAAAAAATCATTTTTTAAAAACGAATACCTACCGGCGTAAGTCAAACTTACTAATGACTATTTTCATTAATACTTCAACTGAGTTACTTATAGCAGATGTTTATTACAGTATTATTTGTTGACACCTATACTTTAATAATGCAAATGCATACAATTATAAGGTCTAAGTTATTTTTGACCAGCTTTTAGCAATATTTTTATTGATTTGTGTCAGTTTTTAGAATATTTGTGTTAATGCAATAATCATTAAAGTAAGTAAAATATTCTTATATTTATTTATTGCATTCCCTATTACAAAAGAATTAATGCCATTAGGCATTCTCTACTAGTCAACCCATAGTTCTATTTTCTGTGAAGTAATGTAGTGTTTTTATGAAGTAATTATAAAAATGTTATTATAAAAATAATTACTTTTCTATTATTAATCTTTTCAAATAAAAATATTAATTATGAAACAGGACAGGAATTGGATTTAGGTACTTGTTCTTTTTTTGTTTTATTTTTTCTTAAGATTAAAACTGATAATTGATTCACTGTTGAGAGCCTTACCTCAAATTTGGAAATAAAGTTTAACTTAGGTTTAAAATTTGTATGTAATAAAGCAAACATTGATTTGAAAAGTATTTATTTATCTAAAAAAATTATTTACAAGTGCTGCTCTTTCACTGACATCTTGAACTTCCGAAAAGTACATATCTTCATTTATTTCCACTATTGGCAGCTCCACTTCTGAAGGAACTTCCTCTAAGTTGTGGTTCCTACAAATATTATGCAACACTGCGGTAGCAATTATTATTGCCTGAACCTTAGGCAATGATAAACGCAGTGTTAATGCCACAACAGGGAAGCGACGCTTCCAGACACCAAACGTTCTGAGAAAAAGATAAATGTATATTAGAATTGACCTTTTTAAATGGGTTACAGAACATTAAAAGCTCAATGACTACGAGTAGACTATCCTCATATGGACCACCTCATCCATAATATAAACTATTAAATAAAAAAGCATCATTAAAGTAATTTCTCAATTGATTAAGATATACGGGTGTATTCATAATCATTTTTAAACAGTTCATTAGTTAAAAAGTGTTTTGTCACTTTCTAGCAACAAGTATCTCGCAAATGTCAGAATGAGACAAAACACTTTTTAACTAATGAACTGTTTAAAAATGATTATGAATACACCCGATAATATATATATATATATATATATATATATATATATATATATATATATATATATATATGACAATTTATAGTAGAATTGAGAACCTCCTGTTTCCTGCCAAAAATAAAATACCTAATATTTGTAAGATCTAAACAAAATAGCTACCTTTCAATAATATTCCTAGTCTTTATGTGTGCTTCATTATAGCGCTGTTCAGCTTCAGTAACAGGATTTATAAGAGGTGTTAGTAAATATGGCCTGTTTGGGTAAGCACTGTCACCAAGCATCCAACGGTTACCAAACAGACCTGCATCACATTGAGCTGTAAATAAAGATATTTAATTAAGTACATTTTGATAACATTAAAATATAACAAAAGCAAATAAAACTATTAAACCAGTCAGAAACCTCTGAGAATTGAGTTGTTAAATATTGTGGCATCATGTGTCGAGCCTGGCCAACGGGCAATCACATTCATGAATTTTAAATCAGCATCACAGATTGCCTGGACATTTAAGGAAAAGTAACCTTTACGATTCCTAAACTCTTCACCAATTACATGACCTAGAAGAAATCATAGTTAATGTATCTTTTTATATAGAATAAGTGTCAAACAAGTATGCAGTTCACCTGATGGTAAGAAAATGCTGTTGCCCACAGACCTACATCTGCTCTCCATTTAAAATTAAAATGTAGATGCATTGTCACGCCTGAGGACTAACACAAAATGCCTTGTTATCACATTTTATATACATAGCATATTTAACAATGGTATTCTGTTTCTGAGTGCAGTTCTTCCCCTTTTGAGCCAACCTTCCTAACACATGTCTAATATAGAAGAATAGTGTATGTTCTATTTATATATGATATTTATGAAGAGAAAATATACAATTTTAGTCTGTATAATATTAGGAAATACTCACATGGCGATTGGATTCGTATATGAGTGCAATCAATTGCAGCTAAAACTCTAGGAAATCCTGCAATATGGTAGAATTTTTCAGCACTTTGTTGGTGTATTACAACGTATTCATCATATAAGTTCGCAATTGCTGATGATATATCACGAACTATTCTCCCTGCTGTGGATATTGATACTCCAACAAAGTCCGCTACAGAAATTAACATCGTGCCTAACGCATAAAATCGTAATGTCAATAAAAGTTGATGAAGTGGCGAAACCCCATTGTTCCTGAAATTTTAAAACCATTAATTACTAAATAAAGTAAGGTTAAGTACTATCTTTTGAAAGTAAAATTTTTTTTTTAATGTAATGTTTTACATTATCTCGAAAATTATTTACCTTGTGGAGGTTACACGAATAAACGGCATCAATTTTATTAATAGCGAATTGAAAGCAGGTTTGGATAACCTAAACCTAAACATGAACTCGGCATCATCCAGACTCTGCATGTAGTTCAACCTTCTAATTTTTCGTGAAGAAGCGCGGTGTCTATCTTCAGATTCGCTATCAGTATCCCAATCGGATAATTGAGCCAGCACCTCCAAATCACTGTCATCACTATCACTGTAAAATATCGATATTTCCATTTTCTTATTTTAATAAAAATAACGCTGTGACGAAATCTCCGGTATTTCTTGGATTGCAATCCCGATCGTTTCCAGCGATCAAAACGAAATGTCAAAATCGACAGATAGGTTATTAACACGCGCAAACTGTCATTTTCGAACAGAGGCCAATCGTTTTTCTGTGATCCGCCCTCTGTAAGATAGATTGATTTTTAAGATAGCAAACTCAATGCATAGATTGTTTATTGGCACGCTTAACCCACAAAATAGATTAAAATATCAATCTTAGATAGCTAAAATTGGATCAGGATTGATTATTAATTTCGGGCGTTAGTGTACATTTAATTCTTTCGGCTTTGGATGTTGGTCCAGATACAATTTTATGTTTGTATAACGCCTTTACGATAAAAGAAATTCCTAGTGTGGAGATAAATTTATAGCCCACTTCAAAAAAGAAGATTCTCAATTCGACTGTATGTTTTTTTTTTGCACGTACTCGTATGTTAAACTATATCTTCATCAATTGGAAACCGATTTTAGAACGTCTGAATGAATTTGGAGTATAAATAGTTTTTAATCAAAACCATTCTGCTACATTTATGTATTGTAGTATATTGTTTTGGTTTTTAATGTAACTATTTAGAAAGTCTGGTGTGATAACAACAATAAAATTCACGCAGGTAAGATCATGATGCACTCCAAATTGCGAAATACACCTATTCCTACTGTGTGACAGTGATTCAAGCAGCTAAAATTAAATAATGTAACATTATGTGTGAGTGAAACTTTATTTATTCAGCTTATTCAGTTCACGTGATGAGCGCAAAGTTTGTGCGCGAGTGAACGGCGGAACTTTGTTTGCGGGCACTTCGCCGCGTCGCTGTCGCTCGCCACTTCACGTTCAGTCTGACGCACAACTCTACTAATTAATTATAATTGTCAAAAACACTAAGAAGTAATTTCTTGTGGGAAAAGCACGACGAAGTTGTCTCCAATTGGGAAGATAGATGGCAATGTTTTAATTGCTTCAAATAGAAATTATTGGCTGTAAAAACGGTAAAGACTTGATTAAAAAGAATATTCACAGACACAAGATTCCTCTGGTGGGCATTTTTTTGGTTTCGTTTGGACTTTTAATGTTTACCTGTATTTTGTAAATTTATAAGAATCGATTGTAAGCTACAATTCTTTCTATATTGATATCGTACTTAAGACAGAATTTTCCTCTCGTATAACTTAAAATTTATTCAACTTGACCGCTTAACATCGCCAATGTATAATGCCAGTGCCTAATACGCTCTAAACTAAACGCTCACCCTACATATATTTATATGTATAATTCTTCTGTACGTGTGTTTATCATTGAATTCGTCCTGAAAGGCTGAACCGATTTTGATGAAATTTTTTGTGTGTTTGAATGGGTCCATGGATGATTTAGATTCACAATTGGACCCGGTAAGCAGAAATCACCCGTTGGAAGTCGGGCGGATCGCTAGTCATAGTATAAAACATGACACAGTTGTGGTTGGGGATTCACTTCCACGGGCAAACGATTTCCTCTAGAGCTAAACATTTACACTGCTCAGTATTTAATAAGTACATTAAAAGTACTCTCAAGTATTATGATTAAATAAAATGAACGATATAGAATTTTTGCTGTTTTATCCTCAATTAAATGAATTTACTCTCTTCAAACATCCAATGACCATGAAAACTAATTCTATTTTAACTTTCCTGCGAACGACCCGGGTCCCGGACCCGCTCTTTGATTGTCCACTGCTTTACAAATTTATCCACGTCAGTGAGTGCGTGTGACAAGTTGTCATGTTGGATGCGAGTAGTCCACTTACTTGAAGGGCCATTTACTCGGACATATCATGAAAGCAGGCAGCTGCGTCGCCGCCGGGCGAGTCAACCCTTACGAAGTGCATGTACGAGGTTCCACATTTATAGTCCTTTTCAAAAATAAGTAAAATGCCTCACATAACCAATCCCTTTGATTCACTTCAAAGGGCTTAGAAAATATATTATGCTTTACAAAAGCACCAACATTCAAAATGAATGCCAATTTATATTTTTATAGCAAACACTGATTCCGGCTCATGATCTAAACAACTAAGGTCACGTTTCGAAGTTTTTATATTTATATTACTCGTAATTAATCAGCTAAGTTAAAATAGTGAGAGTTACAAGCAATATGAGTCCCAAAACTAGGCACCGGTCTCCTCTTGTCCTTCCTCTTTTTTTTTATAAATTTATGGAGTAATTAGACCACCTTTATATTTTTTTTGTTTTAGCTGCCTCCATATCATATGATACTGGACTGGACTGAAAAGGATACGGTATTAACATCAATGGTGGGTACTCACCTTCGATTTGCCGACGATATAGTCTTTATAGCAGGATCGCTGGAGGACCTAAGCACTATGCTCAATGACCTCAATAGTGTCTTCCAACGCATAGGTCTTAAGATGGACATGGATAAAACAAAGTTCATGTATAACGTCCATGTCACACCTATGCCGGTAGTTGTTGCGAGCACTGAGCTCGAAGTTGTTGACGAGTATGGGGCAAATAGTCCGACTAGTTAAATCCAATTTCGACCGAGAGGTCAAACGACGTATTCAACTCGGCTGGGCAGCGTTCGGGAGATTACAGAATCGGAGAGCGCCTTATGTATATATGTAAAATAAAAACAATTTATCGGTATTTTCAAGTAAGGCAATAACATATTAAACAGACAGACTGACTGAACTGACTCTGTATACAAATTTATAATTTGCACAAATTTTAAGGCTATAAATTTATATCCTAAAATAATGAATAAATATAAAGCTAGAACATTTACTGTGTAAATGGTTAACGCATTTTTTAAGTCTTACTAATGGTGTGCTCTCCTCCATCATATTTTTATTTACCAGTTCAGTGAACAGGAATTAATTTTTAATCAAAATTTAGTTGTCGGTGGGTGGTTGAAGCACCCTTATAGCGCCTGAAGCAGCAGTACTCGAGCTGTGACGTCACGAGTGTGATGTCACATGCAAGTACCCTTGCAGTCGTGTTGCCACTCGCATCTCTGTCTCTATTCTGAAGTTCAAAATATTTATTTGCACCCTTGCTTTTTAAAATGAAGAGGTAATTGTGTCACAATATAGAACACGCAACATTATATATTCTGTGTATTATTGTTATTAAATTAGTGTTTTAAGTTTTTATTGTTGCAAGCCATTAAAAAGTGGGAACAGAGAGTCCGAAATTTTTATCGTTTGTACGACCCGGTATGGTTTTGAATTTGTTATCCATTTGAACGTAAGAATTTACTATGCTTTAAGAAATACACCTCAACTATCTAAAACACTGTAAGACAAAATAAAAAAACCGGCAAAGTGCGAGTAGGACTCGCGCACCGAGAGTTCCGAACAAATCTGTAGGTATATAAGTTTAAAATTATTAAAAATATTTTTATTATATGATGTAACTAAAAATTTATGCTTTTCGCAATTTTTCCTTTATCTGTGCTATAAAACGTTACTTCGTACCTAATTTCAAGATTCTGAGTTCACGGGAAGTACCCTGTAGGTTTTGATTCCCTTGCGAATGTCGAAAATTTACGGCATAAACGGCTGTATCTTTTGATTGCGTTGGCTTAGAAGTTTGATTTTTTTCACAGCTCTAAGGGACAGTAGACTTTTTTTTATAGGATAAGGGTGACAAACGAGCACACAGTCCACCTGATGGTAAGTGGTTGCTGCGGCCCATAGACATCTACATCTATCCTCTATTACAAATCAAAATGTAGATACGTTGTCACCCGTGAGGACTAAGATGGAATGCCTCATTTCCAGTAAAAAGGGCCTCCGGCCACCTGCACTTACGAAGCGAAACGCAGAAGTAAACCTCTACTTCACGCTGGTTTTCTGTGAGGTCGTGGTACCACCCCGGTTCGAGCCGGCCCATCCGTGCGACAGCAAAAGCTGCCGCGTAGCTCTACCACTGTTAAAGAGACTTGAGTATTTGATATGAATTTCAGCTTTATACCTCCACGCGTTCCTGAGAAAAAGGGTCTTCACAGACAGACAGACAGACAGACAGACGGACAACAAAGTGATTTTTTTATAGGATCGGGTGAGAAACGAGCACACAGTCCACCTGATGGTAAGTGGTTACTGTGACCCATAGACATCTACATCTATCCTCAATAAAAACTCAAGATGCAGATGCGTTGTCACCCGTGAGGACTAAGATGGAATGCCTCTTTGCCAGTAAAAAGGGTCTCCGGTTCTCTACAGTCACCATACGAAACACAGCAGCGTTAAGCTGCTATTTTACGCTGGTTTTCTTTGAGAGCGTGGTCCTTCCCCGGTCGAGCCAACCCATTCGTGCTACTACCATAATATAGCTGCAGCATGGCTCTACCACGTAGGAAATTCTATAAGGGTTCCGTTTTTTCCTTTTGAGGTACGGAACCATAAAAAATATATTAATTTAGTCCACGTCTTAAGACTTAACAGTGGCGCTATGTAATTATTTACGTTGGTATTCTGTGTACATATACGAGTACGTTTGTTTTATTTTCAGGTCCTCCCGGGCCCCCCGGCAAGCGCGGCAAAAAGGGCAAAAAAGGCGACCCAGGCGAACCCGGCCCAGCGGTGAGTTCACTCTCAACTACAAACTCAAATGCGTTTTAGTTAATTACCATCGCCACAGTCCTCCTAAAGGAACAATCTTTTGAGAAAAAAGAGATAAGAGACGGATATACTCTTGTTATTACAATATTTTGTTTTATTTTTAATTTCCTTTACAGGGTTTAATGGGTGCACCGGGGAAGAACGGATTTCCGGTACTTATTTTTAGTTATTTTTTATTTTGACTTATTTTCTTTTTCATTATATTATTTTAATTTCTTTTCAACTCTTAATGCCTTTGACTTCACGACGCTGTGTGTCTCTTGCACAACTATATCGCTAGAAAAATTGATGATCAATGAGATAACTTTGCTAGATTCTCCTTCTGAGTGAAAATAAAGTTCAATTTTCTTATAATCTTTTGCACTTTATAATACAAGTAAAAAGTAAAAGCTAATATTTTTAGAATTGGTTCATTAGCGTTTTAAAGCGATTTCCCCTTTTTACTTTTGTACTGCGACGAGCGCAAGGCCGCGGCGTGGGTCGCTCGCATACCGATGGCTTCTGTACGACAGTGTGACGTTTCAGGGAAGCAAAGGCGAGAAGGGCGAGCGAGGCTTTATGGTAAGAGGCTCCCCGTAGCGACCCGTAGATAGCCCGCTGCTCGCCTCCGCTAACTGACCCTCCCCCGCTACAACTAACTACAGTTAATACTCCGCAATGTATTTTGTACAAACAATTATACTTGTATTCATTGTATAGAATTCGTTTACTTTATAGTTTTTTTTTAAATTTAATGCTATAAACATATTTTATAATACTTTAACGACTTGGATTACAAAAACTGCCAGTGTAAGGTAGCATTAACGATGGTATTCTAAGTGAATCTCTGACTAGTTTGAGTCCAGAGCATATTATAATGGCATCACGTGATGATGGGAGTGATATGAGTTTAAATTTGAGATTGTCTCTGAATACTCGCATCACACATCTGCAACAATTAGTGCTGTGAGAATACCGATACATTCAAAATCGTCATTTTTTAGATTAATGATTACATAAACAAGTGGTAAAATTAAAAATATCGTACAACCGACTACAATGTAAATAAAATGAGATAAATCAAAAACTACCTGTCTGATCTTGATCAAATTTATATGAGACCACGTGAGAAGCACCAGTTTCCAAATAAAAAAATAATCATCAAAATCGGTTCACCTAAAAAAAGTTTTGAGGTAACACACATAAAATATACAGTCGAATTGAGAACCTCCTCCTTTTTTGAAGTCAGTTGAAAACAGAACACTTTCGAATAGTATGAATTGTATCTATGAGTACAGAGCACTAGACATAATTAAAATTGTAATTAATGTATTCGAGGTTAACCCAGATCCACCTAGCGAAATTAGACTGTAGACATTTGTAGTTGTTAGAAAACTAATCAACCTGTTAGCTTGAAGCATCTTCGTAACACATACACTTGTATAGTAATTATATGTTGTGGAAGTTATTAATACAGACTAATCTCTTGGAATGCATGTCAACTTATTCTTCATTTCCAACGTAACCTTACGCAATCTCTCTGCAGTATCTTTCGCTTCAACCTTCAACTAATCTTTCTTCATCTACCACTCGTTGTTGGTATAATATTTTTAAAATCAAAAGACTTAGTTATTAATGTGTAGTTTAAAAATTTACTTCACTTATGAAATAGCGTTCAAGTTTGTTTACACTATTTTCAGGGACCAATCGGACTGGACGGGCCTAAAGGTGATCCGGTATGTTCAATTTAAAAATTCTGATGTTCCATCCAAAAACTTTCTATACGTGAAAAATAAATATGTCTACTAATGCACCTACTTAAAGATGTAAATGTAAATATAATGTTATAAACTAATATACTCGTAATAAGCCATGTAGTGTGCAGTAACTGAGTAGTTGCAGGGTAAGAATATTTACTGCCCTATCTCGCCAAGGAGATGTCGTAATAGGCAACTGCGGGAAACAGAAACAGGAGTTGGGCAGCAGCATCGTCCTGATAACAACTCAAAATAATAAAGAACTGCGGTGGCCAACCCGCCTGCCAAGCATGGCAACTATGGCAAAATATGAGGCAATCTATGGGGGAGGCCTATGTACCGCAATGGACTTTTGTAAGCTGTAGTGGTAATGGTAATATGATATACTGTTGCAGGGCCGACCTGGTGACAAAGGACAAAAAGGCGAGCTAGGCAGTCCAGGCTTCGATGTATTCGCTGCTGTAAAGGTGCGTAATTTAAAAAAATACGGTAAGTCGAAACATGTTTGTGACAAAGCAAAGAAAAACTTCAAATGATTGTAGTCGTTAACGTTACAAATGCTGTAAATTTTTTTTAAGAGTGACAAACGAGCACACATCTCACCTATATCAAGGCCCATAGACGTCTACATCTATCCTTGAGAAAGAATATTTTGCTATATTATGGTTGTAGCACGAATGGGTCGGCTCGACCGGGGAAGGACCACGCTCTCACTGAATTCCAGCGTGAAATAGCAGCTTAATGCTGCTGTGTTTCCTATGGTGAGTGTAGAGAACCGGAAACCCTTTTTACTGGAAACGAACCATTCCATCTTTGTCCTCAGGGGAGACAACGCATCTGCATTTTAATTCTTAATTGAGGATAGATGTAGATGTTTATGGGCCACAGCGTCCACTTACCATCAGGTGGGCTGTGTGCTCGATTGTCACCCTTACTTCATAAAAAAAGAAAAAGAATAAAAATGCAGATGCGTCCCCTGAGGACTAATAAGAATGCCCCGTTTCCTTTATAAAGGGTCTCCGGTTATCTTCATCATATAATATGAAACACAGCAGCAATAAGCTGTTATTTTATGCTGGTATTCTGTGAGAGCGTAATCTTACCCCGGGCGATCCGACTCATTCGTGTTAAAACTACATTTATTATAATTTACAGCATGGTTCTACCACATATTATAATATATAGGAGTCAACTCAACCCAATATATAGGAGTAAGCCGAACCGACATAATTAAAACCAGATACTTCAAGCAGACTCGTAGTTTTATAAAACTGAACTGACAAATAAACTTACAGTCTACCTGATCGGAAGTAGCTTGTGCCTATTTTGAACAAAGAAGGCTACAGCTACAGATGAGCTGTCACCTCTGAACACTTAAATAAAATGCTTCGCACCGCGTAATTATACTGACTCTCTATGCAGTGACTCTCTATCCTAGGTGGAATATGATCCCTAATAAATAAGAATATATTATGTAAAACTAGAAATATAATCTGTGTAATATAACCACGAAATGAAAGTGTAATAAAATAGCATGTTGCGACGGTTCCAGGGTGTGAAAAGATCGGTGGACAACTTTAAGATGAGTCCGTACACGACCGCGGAGATCATAGCCGTGAAGGTACGGCGGGCCCCGTGCCCTGTAGTGCAGTGTGTCGCTTTACGCGCCGCTTTGTCGCGCTCTTGTTTTAAACTACGATTTTCAAAGAAATCGTATCGGCTATCATTCGCATCGCTTTAATTTTTTTGGCAATTTCTCATTAATAATATGTTGCTTTCGAATAAGGAGCAGCGGAGGCTTTACCGAGCGATGTTGTTGATTTTGTGTAAAGTTCATACAGAGGCTTTTAGATTGAAATGGATTTATATTTTTATTTTTTGTATTTAATTATGTTTGTTTCATCAATATTATGTTTGTGTATTCGCTTTACTGTTTGTTTGTGTGTGTGCACGAGTATTGACGCAGTGTGACTCTGTAGGGCCTGCAGGCGGCCGGCCACAACATCTCCGCACACTCCATCATACAACTCAAGGTGAGCCTACATTCGACATTACATCGCAAATAGTTATTTATTTCTCACAACGTCCTTTAAATAATTAAAATTTGTTAAAAATAAATCTGCTTCTCTTTAATTCTGTCCTGTGTCGAGCCTGCTGGAAGAAATTTCTATATGAAATAACTAATATTACTTTGTGAGCCGTGGTAGCTCAGATGGTTTGCGCTCGCTGTAAGTTTCACAGTAAGCGAGCAACCCGGGTTCGATCCCCGCGGGCACCAATGAAATTGTTAATTGCAATTTTAAGTGCTGATTTTTGTGAAGGAAAACATCGTGAGGAAAGCTGCATGTCTGAGAAATAAGAAAAAATATTTCGAAGACATGTGAAGTTCGCCAACACGCAATGGGGCAGCGCGGCGGACATTTCCTTGCCCTAAAACCCTTTCAGAAATGAGAGGAGGCCTGTGCCCAGCAGTGGGAAGCATACAGGCTGTAACTTTAACTTTGTTTTTACATAAATTGTTAATTAATTAAATTCAACCTCAATCTGCTTTAGAAATAAAACTAGAACCTAACACTTGAAACATTTAAGTAAAAGCATTGTTTTGCTCATATATAAACATTTTTTTCTTCTTTGTTTATCAAACACTTACCACCGTTTTATAAGGAGACCCATTTGACAAAATATGTCTGTAGTGTTTAAAAAAACACCAATTGTTCACACAAGGACAGGACAAGATTTATTTAGTTATTATGTTAAATTATCATCAATACGAAGTGGGTGTAATGTAATGCAATTCGAAACAGTGAATTGCATTGTTCTCTATGAATACAATCATTAGCACAGGACACTCTTTACGATCATTAGTATCTAGGTACTGTAGTAGTAGTAGGTATACTTTTCCCATAAAAATCATTAGTTTATTTATTTGGACTTAAATATTATATTATACTTTTTTTATTTAAATATTGTAATATTTTTTTTATAGGAGAGGGGGCTAACGAGCATGCGGCTCACCTGATGGTAAGTGACTACCGCCGCCCATGAACAACCGCAACACCAGGGGAATTGCAGATGCGTTGCTGGCCTTTTAAAAAGGAGTAGGCTCTTTTCTTGAAGGTCCCTAAGTAGTATCGGTCCGGAAAAATGGCTGGTGGTAAACTATTCCACAAGGAAATTGTGCGAGGAAGAAAACATCTTCTAAATCGCACAGTGGTGGACCGCCAATCATCCAGATGGTGTGGACCATCCACATCGGACATCGGGAGTTCTGCCGCGATGTGCGTTCATGAAATTTGGCGGCTGGGATTAATCCGAACAATTCCTCAGAGCACTCCCCGTGGTAAATGCGAAAGAAAATGCAAAGAGATGCAACACGTCTTCGCAGCGCCAATGAGTCGAGCCGTACGGAAAGGACTCGGTTGTCGACGATTCGAGCCGCTCTGCGCTGGATGCGGTCAAGTGGATGGAGCTGGCAGTGGGGAGCCCCTGCCCAGAGATGAAAACAGTATTCCATGTGAGGCCGAACCTGCGCCTTATAAAGTTGCAGGCGGTGTGCCGGCATGAAATACTGTCCCGCTCTGCTGAGCACGCCAAGCTTTTTAGAGGTCAATTTGGCCTTCTCTTCCAAGTGACCGCGAAACTGCACGTCACTCGATATGTCGACGCCGAGGATACCGATACTGGCTGAGGCAACAAGGGGAGTGCCTTGAAACTGAGGAGATACGACAAAGGGGTTCTTTTTTGCGATAAGCGCACAAACTTGTGCCTTCTGAGGATTAAACTGAACTAGATTTAGTCGCCCCCAATCCGAGACTTTGTTCAGCAAAGACTCGACTTCAGACGCAAGTTTGTTCCGGTACTCGGCGACGTTTTCCCGAGAAATATTGGCCCGGCCGGTGTATAGAGCATCACCAGTGCTGTCATCCGCATAGCAATGAATGTTACCGGTTTGCAACATATCATTGATATGCAAAAGAAACAGCGTTGGTGATAGCACGCAGCCTTGTGGAACACCAGCGTTAATAGGCTTGTAGTCGGAGCATGCACCATCTACAACGACCATGATGCTCCGATCTGCAAGAAAGCTGGTGATCCAATTGCATAATTTCTCGGGAAGCCCATAGGAAGGGAGCTTCGAAAGAAGCGCTTCGTGCCAAACCCGATCGAAGGCCTTCGCAATGTCCAAACTAACGGCCAATGCCTGGCCTGCAATGTATTGGCGGTCACTAATCAGCTGGTGATCCTCAAGGTACCGCATGAGGTGGCAGTTTATAACGGATTCCATTATTTTGGAGAACATGGGGGTGATGGCGATAGGCCTGTAGTTGGACGGGTCTGAGCGGTCGCCTTTTATTATTAATATGTAATATTTTGAACCTTTGTCAATTCAAAGTAATTAAAATCTTTTATTCATATTATATTCCTTAACAAATAGCTAGTTTTTATTAGATATATGAAACCCTCATCACTTTAACTGAAGTACCACTTACAAATTGAATAATTTTTAGTTCCTTGAAGTCAGTTTTTAATTTTTATTAAAGTATTTTTTCTTACTCCGTTGAGTTCATTAAGGAAAAATATTCGTCTAAATAGTTGTATTAAAATTTCATTCTCTATTTTGCTACCCTCACAGGTGGAATTTTGTCTCCGTATTTATGATCAACGGCGATGTATAACCTATTTAATTAAAAAGGAATCATCAAAATCGGTTAACAAATGTCATACAAAAAAATGAGTTGTAAAGTTTTCTTTTTTGTTGAATTTGGATAAAAATATTAAAAGTTAGAAAAAGAAGTATGTTAATTGAATATCTGTCTCGAATATGCTAGATATAATGAACACCGAAAACATTCAGCAGTACCAGGTGTAATGAGATCGGAACTGCCCAGGTTAGTGATTACAGCAGACTCTCATGGTATTAATACAACAGCAGACTGATGTTCATGATTAACATGCTCCTGTTCTCTGTATCCGATATTAGGGTCTGACTTATCATGCGTGCGTGCTATATAGAGGAAACATTTTAGCTACCATGAGGTCCAAGTGCTGCACCCGTCAGGCTAATAAGGTATTTATATCGTTAGTAGCTAGTACGTTTTGTTCACATCACTGTTGTTGGCCTGTTGTACCTAGTATAGTAATATTGATATTATGTTCGTTAAATTATATTTGCCAAAAAAGCAATAAATCTCATATAAAGAACAATAAGACTACATTTTACAAGTTTTTACTTAATATTTGTAAGAATTTTTTAACAAAAATAATTTGCTTGTCCCTATCAGAGATTAATTTTTCGCACGATTTACGCCTTTCTTTCGATTAATCACCAGTAAAAATATCTCAGGGTGAACCGGGTGAGCCAGGGCCACCGGGACCACCGGGCGCGACAGGGGCAACAGGGCTAGCGGGCAACGAGGGGCGAGCGGGGGCGACAGGTGCACCAGGCCCCCCGGGCCCTGTTGGCCCTCAGGGCATACAGGGTCCTCAGGGACCACCCGGCCCACAGGGCATATCCGGACTCAAGGTCTGTTTTCTTTTTTATATTTTTCACATTTAAAATAAGTTAAACTCTAAAAAAATAATTAAAAATCGATCTAAGCAACTGAACTTTTATATTGTATGATCATTGAATTTGGTTTTTTGGTTTAGAACCTTGGATTTGACAAGTACCAGTACTGTTGATTTCCATGTTTTTAACATAACATTATGTCTCGTGAGCAATATGGCCATTGTTTATTTAAGTGGGTGATTTCTAATAGTATTTTCATGACGATTGCAGGGCGATAAGGGTGACAAGGGCGAGCGTGGCTACACCACGACACTTAAGGGCGATGCCTTTCCTACCGGCATCATCGAGGGTCCCCCGGGCCCTCCTGGACCTCCCGGTAAGACCTACAAATTTCACCTCACCTAATTTTAACTCGCTTCGCCCTAACAATTCACGGGCCTCAGCAGCTCACACGCACCGCTCGCACGGATGCGCGGGCTCTCGACAAAATAACTGCACTATAGTTTATTATATTGGATGGTTAATTGTTACTTCAACTTGCAATAAGCGCAGTGTTATTTTCGAGACTCCGCAAAATTAATTTTTGGTTCACGATTAACGTCGGCTGTCGGGTAGAGTTGTATGTAGTTGCGTAGTTAAAGCAATAAACACTAGTTGTAAGTGTCCTCATGCCCCAAGCCTGTGTGTGTATGTGTGTGTGTGTGTGTGTGTGTGTGTGTGTGTGTGTGCGTGTGGTGCGCTGTCTGAAGCGGCGGTGTGTTGAAGGCGCGGAGGGGGCGCGCGGGGAGCGCGGCGCAGCGGGGGTGCCCGGCCCGCCCGGCGAGCGCGGCGCGCGTGGCAAGCGCGGCAAGCGGGTACGCCTGCCACCTGCCACCATCCTGCCACACACCTGCCACACGCCTGCCAGCCGCCACTGCCTGCCAACCGCCAATCACCCGCCGCTGTCGGCCGCGGACCTTCAGTCCTCGTGCACGTTCCCACCCTTTCCTTTCTACCTCTCGCACTGCCGATCTTCGTTTTGACGATTTCCTCTTCAAACAAAACCATACATATAACACTATTTTGTCAATGCTTATTTCTAACAGATATAAAAAAACCGGTCGCAGCTGATTTACAGACTCCTATATTTCTTTACCTAGTTCAGAATGGTTACAGGCCAGATGCGTAGTAGCCTTCGGAAAAGATTCAAAGAAAAAGTTTGAGTAAAAATAATAGATTGTATGATAAATTCTTCCAACACATTGGAGTCAATTAAAATAGTACAAAAGGCGTATCAAGACAACGTTCCTCCTTTCACATGAATGCGCCTTTTACAGCGATCTCGGACGTACTTAGCAAAATTTGCCTTAGATTACATTACAGTAGAAGTTTCGATAACACGTGATTCTGAAACACAAATGAAAAATGCGCAAAAGGGTTACTGCGGTGCACTTTTGTATTATTGATAAGGTTCCGAGTATCGTTTTTTTACAAACGTTCCTATAAAATGACCTTCCGATAGGGAAGATTTAGTATTTCCCAAAGTTGATGTCAGGTTCAAGTAATTCTTCAAACGATGAATAATAAAGAACAAGTTTTGTTTCCTGTTTACTCACTTGTACGATTGTTTTACTATTCTCGGAAACTTTGTTAGTTCATTCATTAACTTACGTGCCAAATATACCGAGAACAAAGCACCTTATTCCTATCTCTTTTTCATTTGTGTATTTCATATTTGCATATTACCTCATTGCATAACGATCAACTATTAAATTCTTCATACACTTTACACTTAATTCGTTTAAAATTCAGTAGATACATTTTTATGTATGAAACTATATCTATCACTTCAACAATGCTCACTTTAGCAAATTTAAATATAAGACAAACGTTCTACATACATGGCTTTCCCTTTCCTCTTTTCCAGATCTAAACATGTGCAGTTTCTTTCCTTACGCTTCAAATTATGATATGAATGTTTTGATTGGTTTTGGGCATGTAGCATGTGTTTAAGAATGTATCTAACGAATCGTAGTTGTTTGTGATCAGAACTGTTGCACTCGCATGGCTTCATAACTTCGCACAGCTAACCGTTCTGTTCAAGTAGACTCATTGTGGTAGCGGTACAAATGACAACTGACGCGGTAGTACTGCGTAAATATTTTTAACGACAACGTGAATACCGACGGCGCACGGCCGGCGGTTGTCGGCGATGCTGCTGCTGATTCATTATACTTAGAAACAGGTAAACCAGTTTTGTTAACATTTGTTTGGTTCTTCTTCTTGCTACTAATTTTTGTATTATTAATAAGATAGATATCTATAAATATCTAAATCTATCCTCAAAATGCAGATGCGTTATCACAAGTGTGGACTAAGATGGAATGCCTTGTTTCCAGTAAAAAGTGTCTCCGGTTCTCTACACTCACCATACAAAACACAGCACCGTTGAGCTGCCATGTTATGCTGGTATTCTGTGAGAGCTAGTCCTTCCCCGGGTGAGCCTACCACGTAATAAATCTATCAAAAGTCCCAATACCTTTCGGTTTAAATCCCAACGAGACCCCCATGAGATGACATGGGGTGATGTTATGGTCCTACGCCACCACTTTTATCATTCACAAAATTATAATTACCTCCATACTTCCTCTAATACTTTCTTTTAAGACTCATACGCACTGGCGGTCAACCGCTACAGCGGTTAACAGCTGATCACTCACTGTGATATTATAAATCCGCTGATTTTTTACGTACCAAAAGAGTAAAGCGCTGCGACACCGTTGATAATACGTTAAAAATTTATAGAGGATATGCAAGCTACGTACATACGCAATGGAACAATCATATTAATATGATTATCTTCGTTTTTCCATACATTTATCAGAATTTTCAGGGTGACGGTTGTAACAAGGACGGTTCAATTTTTGGCTGGCCGTTGTTAAACTTCAACGCTATTTCGCTACTATACAATTTATTTATTGAATAATTTCTTCAAGTAACAGATATCTGTTAAAGACTTAAAAAGAATATAGATAAACAACATCTGCTTTTTCGAAAGCATTCATTTTGCTGCTGCAACGGGAGACCACGGAACCTCGATCGAAACATTTGAAACGATTAGCATAGCACTAATTGCACCAGGCTATACGGTTCCTCGCTACCGACAATCGTGCTAGCGGTTAGCTCTAGTGCGTATGGGCTACTACTTCTAGTCTGAAATATCTGATCAGTACTATTCTCTATGACATTGTACTCAATTTATTAAAGAATGTTGGTGTATTGCAGGAGTGCCGGGGCCGGCGGGGAGTGCGGGGGTGATGGGGCCAGTGGGACCGCGTGGGCCACCCGGCACCGACGGCCGCGCAGGGGCTATCGGACTACCTGGCCCACCCGGCAAGCCCGTTAGTAACTACATTTTTAATACATTATTAGAAGAACAAAGGATGTATCAATCCAAATGATGGTGAGTAGCTATGCAGCCTATGGACACCTGGAATCAACTTTGGAACAAATAAAGGCAACTCGGTTGCGTCGCCACTACAGGAGAACATTACGCAGCGTCGTATAATACTAAATATGCTTCCACCTTACACACTTAGTAGTAGTGAGTGTTTGCTGATTTATGCCATCATAAATATGTGTAAAACAGAACAGTCATTTTTAATAGTGGTGATCAAGTTCATCTAACTTTTTTTATAGGATAAGGGTGACAAACGAGCACACAGTCCTCCTGATGGTAAGTGGTTGCTGCGGCCCAAAGACATCTACATCTATCCTCGATTACGAATCAAAATGCAGATGCGTCGTCACCCGTGAGGACTAAGATGGAATGCCTCGTTTCCAGTAAAAAGGGTATCCGGTTCTCCACACACACCATACGAGCCACAGCAGCATTAAGCTGCTATTTTACGCTGGTATTCTGTGAAAGCGTGTGGTCCTTCCCCGGTTGAGCCGACCCATTCGTGCTACAACTAAATATAGCTGCAACATGGCTCGTAACAACGCAAACATAATCTAAGATTAATTAATTAATAGAATATAATAGAATGATTTTTATTCAATATAGATTATTATATAATACTTAATGAAAGTAAGTTTTATATTTACCACTGGTTCGGAAAATAATTCTGTTCCGGGAAGGCTAGCAAGAAACCCAGCGGGACTTGTTTTAAACATATTTCACTTTACAATAATTTTGTTATGTTTTTAAAGTATGAACATCTTTATTCTTATCAAAGCTATTTATGTTTTTATGTATATACATTACATTTTCATAAATATATTGTGATGCCAAAGTTAATATGTTTGTTTTTCAAAAAAATCTCTCTCTCTCTCTGTCTCTCTCTCAGGACTCTTTACAATTTAAGTTATAAATCGCCTGTATGGCTCTCTTTCGCAAAACAAATATAGTTTCAATAAAATAATACATTCTATTTAGGTATTTGTGGTTACACATTATTAATATTTTATTTACGGTTGTTAATAGTTTCGGTAGGTTCGTTAAACTATGCTATTATCATAATATGACTACTAGTCACTGTTTGTATCACATGCATATTGTATATGTGAATATATTTAAGACTTTTTGTATTTTGTCTCACCGTTGGACAATTTCTTTAAAAAATTTATTCTATAAAAATACAAAAATGTGTCCTTGAATCAAACGACTTGTTACGAGTATATTATTATTGCAACAGAAGTGGAGCAATCCAAAAAAAAATCACTACGTACCTATATGATGTCTTTATTGATTGTACAAAGCTTAGGAGAAAATCATCACTCCTACTCATAGTTGGTTATATTAAAAGACAGCGGGGACAGTCATTGTTTGTGTGTGTTAGTAAGGTTTAATTAATCGTTTATTAAAGAACAAAGAAACTTTTATTCAAAATCATATATTATATGTCAATTCAATCAGCAAATGATATATTAATGCATTTTTAACAGGGCGAAATGGGAGCGAAAGGAGAAAAAGGGGACTATGGCGACATGGGATCGCCTGGCATGCTGGGTGCCCCCGGCCTACCCGGCCCACCTGGGTACCCGGGTCTTAAGGGTGATAAAGGGGATAAGGGAGACTCGGTGAGTAAACTATTTTTTCAAATAGTTGTTACCGAACAACCGTTGTCCGTCGGTGAGAATATAACAAACGAGCACACAGTCCACCTCATGGAAAGTGGTTGCTGCGACCCATAGACATTTACATCTATCCTTGACTATGAATGAAAATGCAGATGCGTTGTCACCCATGAGGACTAATATGGAATGCCTCGTTTCCAGTAAAAGGGGTCTCCGGTTCTCTACAATTACCATACGAAACACAGCAGTGCCAAGATGCTATATTACGCTGGTATTCTGTGAGAGCGTGGTCCTTCCCCGGTCGAGCCGACCCATCCGTGCTACAACTATACTACTAATATAGCTGTAGCGTAAAGTATAAAATTTTTATTTTATATTTTATATTACAAAAATAATGAACATATCAGCAACTGTTCTTGCAACTGATGTAACCGTGTATTCTCTACATGCAATAATACTGAAGTTTCACTGAGAGATAACAAATCGTTAGTGTAATTAGATGACATTCAATAACTATACCTAACCGTATTTTGCAACTTTTATTTTTTTACAAATTCCATAGAAATTACACATCACCTGTAGTGGCGGTGTAGGAATAATTAATACCTCATATCGCCCCGTGGGTGTCGTAAGAGGCAACACAGGGAAAGAACCAGGAGATGGGCAGCAGCATCACCCTAATAACAACTAGAAAATAAAAAAATACGGATGCCAACCCGCCTGCCAAGCGCGGCCACTATGGAAGGCCTATGTTCAGCACTGAACTTTAATAGGCTGCAAAACGTACACCTCATTTCCCTGTTGCATTTCTATAGTATTTCTTTATCATATATTCGTAAAAATACCCTCAAATCGATTTCTTTTAGCATATTCAAGCTCTGTCATTGTTTATTGTAATGTCTCTTAAGTAGTCCGCATATTTAACGATCCGCTGTTGCATGTTCCCGGTGGCGTCGCGGCGGCTGTCAACCAGAAGTACAGGAAGCTGAGAAGAAGGCAGGTAACTATCTCCTCTTACTTACACTCTTGCAAATTTGTTAAAATAAAAATCTAATAAAATTTAAATTAAATCAAAATTTACGTAATTGGCTGCATTGTGTAACTTTATAAAATAAACCAAGTAACAGAGACTCCTGTCAAAATTATTTTATTCTAACATTATATTAGAACTTGTTGGCTAAGTAATAAACGAATAGCTCACGTGAACCAGCACGAAACTGTTAATCTTTATAGCCACTGTTGAACTTGCAGGGAGATGGCACCGGCTACGAACTCTATGGACATGAAATGGTAAGTTGTCCTGATTCCTTTTTTAAATTATTACAAACACTATTTTAGTTATAGAGATTTTTGAAGAAAAGTATTTAATTCATTAAAATTTTATGTTAACATAGTAATTTCTCATATCTCCGCGAATACTACACATTGAGTGCAAATATATTTTTTGATTTTTGTAACGTTTGAAATGAAGTCTTTTTGTAACACTTAATGAAAAAAATTATATTTTATTTCAATGTTTACTTTGTTCATGTCCAACTCAAACTCACTACAAGCCAATATTACCTGACATTAATACACATAACCACTGGTCATAAAGGTCTATTCAAGATCGTGGAACCTGGAAAGCATTACTGAGATCACTTGGTTAAACAAAACATTTAATAAAAATATATAATAAAAGTAAAATTTCCAGTCTTCATCCTTTTGCTGTCAACACACCACTCATTAATCGTGTAGTGGCGGAGTAAGAATATCCACTATCCGTCGTCCCGAGAGTGTCGTAATTGGCGACTGAGGAAAATTTAAACAGGAAATAGGAGCAACATCTTCCTGATAATAACTTAAAAAATAAAAAAATCAGTTGCAAATCTGCCTGCCAAACATGGCAACTATGGCAAAGTGCCACCTATTGAGGCAATCTGTGAGGGAGACCTATGTTTAGCAGTGGACATTTATAGGCTGTAATGGATAGCACTCATTCGAAACAAACGGTTTGCTTTGTCGTTCGTAATATTTACAGGAAAGGATCGGAATAATTTTCCAGCATATGACTTTCCATCCTATTACAAGAGTCTTCAAGGTAAGAGACAGTGCAGCTGAAGTTGGCACTTGTAGAAAAGCTGGTGACATCACCACTACATCTATATTTATAAAAATATATTTGTAGAGTCACCTTGTTATCTAAAGGTTTATTAGTATGGTTGTCGGTTGTAAGTCCAACAAATTAATTGGTAAAAATAATAAAACACGGAATTAATTGTGTAAGTATATAATATAATATAATATATATATATATATATATATATATATATAATAAAGTTATATTAAAATAATTGGTACTAATATGATGAAAACTGTGTTCTTAAGAATATTGTATACTAGCGATCCGCCCCGCTTCGTACGAATGATTTCTGGATCTCAACAACAGCACCACCTACCGGGTACAATGTGAATCGCTTAGATCATCCAGGGACTCACTTAAACATACACAAAAAAATTCATCAAAACCGTTCGGGTCGTTTTCGACTTTCAGCGAGACTAACCGACAGCAATTGATTTTTATATACAGGGTTATTTTGCAATAACCGGCAAAATTTACAGAGTAGGTTTAAGCAAAAATTAGAGTTAAGTAAAATTAATTAAAAAAATTGCAAACATTCTGTCCTTTTTATCTTTTAAATTCAAAATGCGTGGTAATGCATTATTTTCACTTATTTTACTGTACACGCACACATTCGTAAGGGACGATCGGTAGACAAAAACGTTGTTGCCCATAAATCACATTAAACTTGGGATAGTTGCAAATAAAAGCAGAAGCCTTACTTACTCGTATTTTCAAAAACTGCAATAACGGTATATCATTATTTATATATCTGAACTTAAGTTTAAAATTTAGCTACTCTTTGAAAAATAACCCTGTATATAAATGAATGTTCTTTTTTATAGGATAAGGGTGACAAACGAGCACACAGTCCACCTGATGGTAAGTGGTTGCTGTGGTCTATAGACATCCTCTATTACAAACCAAAATGCAGATGCGTTGTCACCCGTGAGGACTAAGATGGAATGCCTCATTTCCAGTAAAAAGGGTCTCCGGTTCTCTACACTCACCATACGAAACACAGCAGCGTTAAGCTGCTATTTTACGCTGGTACGAGTATTCTGTGAGAGCGTGGTCCTTCCCCGGTCAAGCCGACCCCTTCGTGCCACAACTATACTACTATATGTATATATGTAGCTGCAGCATGGCTCGACGTATAAAAAGAATGTAGTATATATTTAAAATCTTTAATTTACTTTTATTTTTAGCACAGTGTATTCAATATATTTTGTGGTGTAGTATGTACGAAGCACAATATAAAACGGATTTCTTACACCTCGTCCTACCACATTCAAGAGATGTGATAGGTATATGTATTTCAAAATCATGTTTACGCTTTTGAATTGCGTTATTGCTTTTGATGATATTGATGATGATAATATTGATGTTGATTTATGAAAAAAGTAAAAACTATATAGACAATATTTCTGTTTTACTTTTACTTTTATTCCAAGTGAAACTATTCGTATATAGTCATTATGTGTGTTAGTCATATTTGTGTTAAACCATAAATGTGCAACAGTAATGGTGAACACTTAACCTCCAATTTATTAGATAATATTAGTAACAGTGAACTAACTAACTTATCCACTATTATATGTCGGTGTCCGCAGATGATGGGTCCTCCGGGCGCGCCGGGTGCCCCGGGCTCTCCAGGCGTGGCGGGCCCGCCCGGCATCAAGGGCGACAAGGGCGAGCCGGGCATGCGCGGGAAAGCTGTACGTACCCGCAAGCCGCCACACACCGTTCCTTATTTATTTCTTTCTGTCCTCTTAATAATGTCCTTCAGACCAAATTTTGGTCAAACACAGGTGCACTCTCTATTCCCTCACTTTCATATTTTTATGGGATGGCAATACGACACGACCGAAGAGAGATTAGGTGCAAGACCAAGGGCTTTAGGTGCTTTCCAACGCACGCGGGTGAGACATCACCAACTTGCTGACTCCGGGCTGCTACTGACAATTTCTTAACAGAAGAACACAAACACTAATTCTTGCCCGACCACGGGATTCGAACTCACGATCTCATGATCGGCAATCGCGGTTACGACCACTCGCGGACTACGCCAATGAGGCAGTGATAGCCTGTCCTCTTATTGATTTACCAGATAGTAAATTGATAAGAGGACCCCTTTCTTGCCTAGGAGTCCGTGTGGGTGGGTATCCCATATTACAACCAAATATTCATGAAGTGTAGAAGTACTTTCGTGTAGTACTCGTATATGATAGGAACCAGGGTAGGACTTGATTAATAAATTTCACGAATAATTTTAACATTTTAGGGTGAACGAGGTGAGAAAGGAGATGCAGGTCCCATGGGATTACCGGTTAGTAAACTTTATTCGTAATTCCACAATAAAATGCAGCATTAATGAACGTAATATTAAAAAAGCGAAATGAAACTAAACGCAAGTAAGACGTATGTGGTAGTTTTTCAAAGACAAATGAAATATGAATAGAAGGCGAGTTGGTTAAACAAGTGAATGAATTTGTGTATTTAGGATGTGTGTTTGTGACATGGAGTTAATGTGGGGCTCTCCAATCTTTTATGGGAAGTTACAGAATGTGACACACAAACAACACACAAAGCTTTGTTATCCTCTACTTTCATGTATGGTATTAAAAGTTAAATTACTGACAGAAGAAACATGAGAGTAATATTAAACATGTGAAAATTAAGAAGCGCGCTAGGGGTGACTGAATGATAGGGTAAAAATTGTATGATGAGAGATAAGTTTGGTTTGCTGAACGGTATTGGTGATTGATGAGGTGATCACCATCTGTCTATCTGCAACACCGTAGGAATTTAGCGATACTGAAGATGCACTGAATCAAGAGTACTCTTAACCGACGAGCATGTATGCGTAAATATATGGATGTAAAAGAAACGAGAGAATTGTCTCAGGATCGTAGCTAATAGAAGCTCCTAGTTTGTGCCTGATAGGCGTGATAGGCGTAAAAGTTTATACAGATAAAATACAATTTATTTTATATTAACTTCTTCCTTTTTACATAGTACGAGTAAAGCTTTTGATGTTTCTGCTTTTTATACTTTATACTTCTGCAATATTCACGCAGGGACCCGTAGGCTTACCGGGAGAACCGGGCACGTCGGGCGAGGCGGGTGCTCCGGGGCATCCGGGCGCAGCGGGACCCCGGGTGAGTAACACTTATGTAATTCACTAACGGAGTTCTGTAGTGTAGATAGACCGGTTTTCCGCATGATGGTTAACGTGTAGTCGCTCGCTCCGCGCGACTGCCACTGTCACTGTTGCCAACCTTACCACTTTAGTAAGTTAGCGCGATTACCTGCTAGATTACCTATTTATACTATCCTAAAATTTTAGAAAGTTGAAAATATGCTAGAAGTTCGAGTTTCAGGTATAATATATACCTTCTATTTCATCTATACAAATAAATAAAATTGAAGTGTCCATTTGTAATGTCAAAATAACAGCTTTATACTATTTAGTATGTATATAAACGTATGTATACATATACTGTACTTTTAAAATTTTTGTCTGTCTGAATGTATGTTTGTACCGGCTAATCTCCGAAATAGCTGGACCAATTTAGACGGATTTTTTACTGGTAGATAAGATCGCTTATGTTATAAAGAGTATCTGAGGCTACTTTTACTTCAGAAAAATAATTAGGTTTCTGCGCAAAAAATTAAAACGCATGAAATCCAATTGTAAAACATTTCACGCGGACGAAGTTGTGGGGAAGAGCTAGTGTTTAATAGATGTACTTGTATGTATAGTCTCAACGGTGATCCTGTCATACGAATGGTACTCCACGCGGACATAATCGCGGGGAACAGGTAGTTAGCTGTAAGGTCGGTAAGTTGGCAGCGGTGCGCACTAACGTCACTAAGCAGTAAGCACTAACGCACTAACCCGGGTGGGTGGGCGCAGGACAACCGCTGGCCCGAGTTCGCGCGCACGTAGCAGCGCGCCGGCGCCGCGCCCGCCGCCGCCGCGCCCCGCGCCCCGCCCCCGCACCCGCCCCCACCGCCGCTCCTGTAAAGTGTACAATTTGTATCTACGCCGCTAGTCCTAACTTGTTCTAAGCCATCTACTCTAAGACGTTACCAAATGTAGACTGTAAGTGTTGCAAATGTGTATAAAGATATTTTTTTTTACTCGTAATATACAGCCAAGTAATTTAAGTGTATTGTTTAAGTGATCTACGAATACACGATTCCTGTGTTCCGCGTCATTATTAGTGTAGCTTATTCTTACCCAAAGACTTCTAAATCCACTACTGGACCGGCAGTTCAGAACAAGAAGTGTGTCATAGCTGTGCATCGCACGGACGCCAGCTGGGCGAGTAGGTGGGCGAGTAGCTGGCTTCATTTACTACAGTTGTTATTTTTAGACAAATACCAAATAACGTTACATTCTTATCTAAGATTAACTCAAATCACTTTGACAAAGTGCGCACATAAATAATGACAGCGTTTGCTTAGTCACATCTAATACAATCAGTGTTAGATTGTCGAAAACAACGTTAGCGATTTACAAAATAAAGAACAAATCTTTTCGCCTGCTTGCAATCGACTAAAGAAGTTACGGAAAATTGACCGTAACTTAGTGCACACTGTATAAATAGCGTACTCTCCATCTAGTAGTACACATAGAAGTCTTTTTTTACCCATCTTGATCTTTTTACCTCTATTCTATTAATCCCTGTAGATGCCAGTGTATCGTCTACATTATTGTTAGATATCAGCTTGGACACAGGAGTCAGACATTCGGTATTACTCTCTTAGTATTTAATCCTCATCTCTGTTCTTTGTAATTAAGCAATTCTTCAATTAAATTGTCCGTAAGTACTAAGTATTCATTACGAAATATTATATTAAAATCAACGTGTATTTATAAATATATTTACTAATATTTAAAGTTACAATCAATTATAACCTAACCTAACTATCAGAGATACTATTTTGAAAGAGATATCTTATTTGTAAATTTGACAATGAAACCTTCACACATCGTTTGCGTCAGCGTACGTATTACCTCCGTAGTGTGAAGAGTTAATCGCCACATGTCAGTATTATAGTGTAAAGTGGCTGGGTGCGAGAGTCAGCAGCTTCGGTTGAGCTTTCCTCCGGGCCGAGTGGAGGAAGTCGGCTGCGCCCGACCGCTCCGTCCACGACCCGCTCTTTATTCCCTCCCTTGTATTTTCTGTCCTTTTTAATTGTTCTCTAAGCATTACATGTAATTTATTAAAGTTATCTGTATTTAATATAAACACGAATGTACAAAATTGTATCGACTCTTAGATTTAAGTGACGGGTTTGTTAAAGATGTGGTAACTCTCGCGTCGGCGCGCGTCGACTCTAGTATATTATATTCCTTCCTTCTCTATCATCGTATCGGATTTCTGTAACTACTCTTCTATTGTATTGTATTGTATTGATTACAGTTAAGGATTAATTTTTTTATAAAAACGAAAGTTGTCATTTGTACCATATGTCACGAGAGCATTAAATATTGTTGTTCACAGATTATTTTCAAGAAAAATAAATAATTGCATGCTATGCATATTGGTCTTTCCATTCTTTACTTATTCCTCTGCGGTTTTGAACTGTCCATACCTTGGGACTGCGCCTTCTTGCATGTCGGACAGAGGCAAACTCGTGTAATTCCTGGCCGAACTCTGCGTCCCATTCGTTAGCCTGCTCAATTATTTCAACTCTATCGTATTATCACAAATCTTCGAATGTTATTAATTAATGCTCGTCTACGTGCTTTTAACTTTATGTGAGAAATGTGTCTCCGTGCTATATTTAAGTGGCAGTTGGATATGACAAAATTAAAGAGAATGCAAGTATACCCTATGAATGCAAATATAAACAAATGGAATATAAGTTAATACCGAAAGTTCATAATGCGCTGACGTGTACGTTGTCCGCAGGGCCCGCCCGGACTCGACGGAATGAAAGTAAGTAACTTTTGTCTTAATACGTCCATGGTTTTATACTTACTACAGAAAACATTTATTGTTCCTAAAGCTAACGTATTTAGTTTCTGGTACGTAAGTTTCTATTAATTTTAAATTCATAAATGTAATATACGATAAACATGATTTAATAAATCTACTTAAAAATGTATAAGTACTTGAAGTCAACATACTTGTGCCGAAATAGATGTAGATCTACTTAAGTCAGGGATTTCCTTCCTTCTCAGTTATGTATACTGTTACGAGCTTGGGGTTCGAGACAATTAAAAACTGCCGAGTGAATTACCAAAATCGACACTTTAATTACAGAGCACTAATTATATAATTTAAACCACACTAATACTAAAACACATTTGTACTACTGATCACTTTAGTTCGCAGTTGTATCGCTTCGAAGTATTCGCTTATATCGCCAATTATGACTCGGTCGTAGTCTTTATCGGCCTTATATAGGGCCTCAGATAGTTTCCAGAACCTTCTACTGTAGAAACATCTAGTATATTCGAGTACATATCGGTCCCCAAATTTCTAGACTCTCCTAGTTCTGCTACTCGATACTAGAGGGCGCTAGTGGTAACTAGTGTTGCCATGTAAAAGACATTAATAGTGGAGCTCAACAATACATATATATTTTTTTACAAAGTAAGCGTGCGTGCGATTTTCGGTGAACTATATAAATATAATACCTTTCATATTATCCACAAAATATTATATTGTTATGGCTTAAAAAAAACAAGAACTTGAATGTCAAATTTAAATTATCGTTTTTATCTCAATTAATATAAACAAATAAATAAAATTCCATGCAATAGAGAGTTTAATTGCGTATTACATGTATCTGCAGTTTTTTCCCCGAATATATACTTACTATTTCAAGAAGTATCAATTCTTGCGCGTCTAAATTGTGTCTCAAATACGATACCTTGTCCAACATGGCTTTAAAGTGCTTGATATAATATCTTAGCACGACAGATGAAGGAACATTTGACACGTGTTTCAGGGCGCGCAGGGCGAGCCGGGCGCTAAGGGCGAGCGCGGCGACCCCGGACTGCCCGTACGTGACCACCTGCTCCGAGGCACTTTTCACATGGCATGGCAAGCTTCCATGTTTGCTCTTATTGTACAAAACTACTTATCTCGGCACAGCGCCTTACTGGAAATCGTGTCCATGTGAAAAGACCTCATAATCTACCTGCATACACTTTACCCTGTGCTACCTTACTTAATATGTCGTGTTCCTCTTTCAGGGCACCGACGGCATACCAGGACAGGAGGTCGGTACTCTTATTGTTACGAACTGTTAGTGAACTCAACCTGTAGTAATATCCTATTTTCCATCTGTAGGGTCCTAAAGGCGACAAAGGATATAAAGGAGAACCGGTAAGTGCGACTTTTCATTATTTCAAATCGCTTGCCGTTTGCATTGGACCGGTCTGTCGCTAACTCCTCAACAACTATACCATCGTCCCTTTTGCACGATCTACTAACAATTTATTAACGTAATGCTAACATAATAATTTCTGTATCTTCACTTGTATTCAAACAAATGAAATTGATCAAAGACTGATAATTTAGTAGCATTTTTATAAAATAAGGCTGACAAACAAGCACGCAGTCCATCTGATTGTAAGTTTTTTTTATAGGATAGGATGACAAGCGAGCACAGATTCCACCTGATGGTATGTGGTTGCTGTGGCCCATAGACACATCTACATCTATCTTCGTTTGCGAATCAAAGTGCAGATGCGTTGTCACCCGTGAGGACTAAGATGGAATGCCTCCTTTCCAGTAAAAAGGGTCTTCGGTTTTCTACACTCACCATACGAAACACAGCAGTGTTAAGCTGCTATTTTACGCTGGTATTCTGTGAGAGCGTGGTCCTTCCCCGGTCGAGCCGACCCATTCGTGCTACAACTATACTACTAATATAGCTGCAGTATAGCTCTACCACGTACAAAAGTGTGTAGTGAATACTGCGGTCCATAGATATCTACCTTTATCATCGATTAAGAATCAAAATGCAGATTCGTTGCCACCCCTAAGGACTAAGATGGAATGCCTCGCATCCAGCATACGCATAGCATAGCATACAAAACACAGCAGCATTGAGCAGCTATTTTACGCTGGTGATCTGTGAGAGCTTGGTTCTTCCCCGGTTGAGCCGACCCATCTACAGCTACATCTATAATATAGCTGCAGCACGACTCTTCCACTTAAATCATTAAGTACCAGTCCCACGCATAAAGTTTTATGACTTGTACTTAATGCGTTCTTAATGTTCAACTCTTCATTACTAAACAGTAATGAAGAGTTGAACCAACGTAGTTTTTTTTATTTCCTAAGGGCCATCGTTATGTGAACCCATGTGAAACCTGTTCTTGACGTTTATTTTTGTAATTTATGATATAAAAATTGCGACAAATGATTTTTATTTGTGTGTGACCAGGGACCTGGCGGTAAACGTGGACGCAAAGGTGACAAAGGCGATCGTGGAGAGCAGGGCGTGCCCGGACTGGACGCGCCCTGCCCGCTCGGACCCGACGGACTGCCTCTGCCCGGCTGCGGTTGGCGCCCAGCCAAGGTGCGGTACACACGCATGCCTCACCTCACTATATCTTAATAAGCAATACGTAGCTGTTAGTACAGGACCTAATGTTGTTGTAACAATGCATGCGCTTTTGAGGAGTAAAAAACTCTTTTGCAAAAAAAGGGCACCTAAGCAAAGAACCAATATCATTGTTAATATTAGGTTGTTTGATAATTTTAGGTAGGTAGTACTCAGAATTTTGTAAATTAATTAGCAAGAATAGTTTTCGTCAGTTTAACCTTAAAGCGCTAGTGGTGTAAATGCTCGCTAAGTTAAAATGAAAAACATTTCTTGCTTGTTTTTTGTTTAATAACGTAAAACAGATAAAAGTTTAGTATGGTGTGTAACCCATCTTGCTGAAATAAAAGCTTGCATTCGTCTGAGCATGCTAGCGATCTTTCTTCGCGATGTATCTTATGGTTTCTTGCGAAATATGTACGTTGCCTCTCTGCGGTAATCACATTCTTTAGCTCTCTGACAGTCTACGGAGCCGGCTGCACTTCACAATTCAGAACATCCCAGACATGCTCTATGGGTTTTAGGTCGGGAATTCGAGCTAGCCAATCGAAACAACGAATTTCGACCTCTATCATATACACTTCCACATCGCCAGGTGTGGGTGCGAGTGTTGTCATCCATAAAAATTTTCGCAAAGAACGGCCAACGTCATTGTATACATCTATACAATGGCACTGGCCAGCGACCAATATCATTCTTTCATCGTATCGGTGTCCAGTCAGTGAGCCGTTTCGGATGAAGACTAGTTCCATACGATCCATCGAATTTATTCCTGTCCGAAACATAACAGAATCCCCATAAGATGTGATTTCTTCAAAAATGCCTCTGTAAGCGTTCCCTTCATCTTCGTAGAATTTGCCGACGTCGGTCTTCACCGTACAGATATATCCTGGTTTCATCGGAGACCCTATCCCTGTCTTCTTGAGTCCATGGCATACAATTTCGAGCGAAGCTATGCTTGGCAGCTCGATATTCACGAAGTAATTTACAGCCGCAGGCTGGGTGATAAGTGCATATATTGGCATCGAGAAACGTCCTTCTGACCGTCTACAGACTAATATTCACATTTCTTACTTCTTGAGGACCATATACGAAGATTTGTGGATTCTTTCACCAGAACTCACCAGAAAACGATCATCCCGTGGTTCAATACAGTAGTAACAGTAGTAATAGAGTAATTTTCTTCAGGTAACAGGGTTTCTCTTGACGGAACCGGTCTTTTGATAGTGCTGCCAGGTTCTGTGAGCTGTCGAACGTCTCATTTAGCCTCTGAGCCCCGAAGCATTAGCTGCAACCCGCATTTTACCACAAAATGTCATAAAACGTTGTTTTATTTAGAAACCAGCCTCAGGTAAAAATTTGAATTTGGATCGTATTTTTCAAACACCACGGTACTATTAGGACCGACCAGTAACGTCCAAATGATTAAAACTTTTTTCCGTCCGTTTTTTTTTTGCAAATGAGTGTGTACTATTATGCTATTAGCTTTCATAACTAATATTAGCACCCCGGAAGCCTTGCAACGACCACGCTCTTTTGTAGATTTTATAGGAGTAGAAATTAGTATCGCGTTTATTAGTTGGTAACATTCGTTTTGACCTAGGCGTCTGTTGGGATACCATCCTATTCCTATCGCGAAGCAGCAGTGCATCAGTTATAGCGACTAAATTTGATTTTTTTAATATAAAAGTAAGACTAGCAAACGAGTACACAGTCCACCTAATGGTAGGTGGAGCTGTGGTCCATAAACATCTACATCTATCGCCGATTAAAAATCAAAATTCATGTGTTGTCATTCCTGAGAACAAAATTATGAAATGTCTCTTTATCAATCAAAAAGGTCTCCGGTTCCCTACACTCTCCATAAGTAACGTAACATCATTGTGCTGCTACCTAAAAAACATGATGGTGTTCTGTGGCAGCGTGGTCCTTCACCGATCGAGCCGACGCATTCACTTAGTCCTCAAAAGTAGCAATACATCTGTAGATATCATCGCGCAAAGTTGGCTGCAGGTTGTTACAATGAATGCTTGCAACTACCTGAGTAGCTATTTAGTATTTAACTAGACTGCTAGCTCGTACGACCTACTTCAAAGTTTAAAAAGCATCACGTTTAGTTTAGAGTAAAGAAACGGGTTGCGAGTTGTGAGTTGTGAGGGCTCCGGGGCGGGTGATGCATGCACGGTGTGGGTGTGGCGCGGCAGGTGTGGGAGCCGCGCGAGGAGCGGCCGCCCGGGTCCGAGGAGGAGGCAGAGCCGGAGGCTGAGGCCGAGGCCGAGGGCGACGCGGAGGAGTACGACGCGCGTGAGGACGAGCTCGAGCCGACGCGTGACTACGACGACTACACTGACAACTCACACCACGAGCCACATCGCGACTGAGCTCGCGTCGGCCAGGTGCTCGTGTTTATAGCCAAAAACAGCATTTGTATCATCATCATCATCATCATTACAGACCTTCACAAGAACACTACTGAACATAGGGCTCCCCAAATTAATGCCACGAAGGTCCCGAGCCACCTGCATCCATCGACTTCCTGCATATCTTATCAGGTCGTCACCCCATCTAGTGGGGGGTAGCCCAACAGTCCGCCACCAGGCTGCCACTCGAGACCTTTCTTTCTCATCGGTTGTCAGTTCTTCGAGCTCGAGTCGGCCGTCCGGATAATTTGCATAATTTCACCTAATCTTTAAGGTTGTACAACACGACCAAGTATCGAGGGTGACATGCGGTCTTGTGGCCAGCACGTCTTCTGGCTGCGTTCGACTCACCATCATTACCATTATCATCATTGCGGCCCACGCGGTTACAGCTTTTGATTGATATTGGATTGTATTTCGCCTTGTACGTTAGTTTAGTCAAACCACAGAGCAAACATACCTAATAATATCTCTGTTTGTAGATTATATTAATATATAATAGAAAGATCACACAAAATACAAAATAAGAAGCTCGAATTTATTTTTGTTTGTGACAAAATTAGCAAAATCACTGCGGTAATAATCCGTTTTTACAGAGGAGGGAGAGTGGCATGTGTTTATTGCAGACGTTTTTTTGAAACATTTTTTGAGGCAACTTCAGTACTGTACTGTAATTGCTTATCAAAAATAAAAATAAACTGAATACATAATAAAAATTAGTAATCACCTTTTGATGCTATTAATATAATACAGTACAAGTATCTAATAATATGGGATTTTTTTTTGTTTGAACATTAACTAATTAGTAGCACATTAACGGCATGCTTGGTTTGACTTTAATTTGTGAACTGAATAACAGTGTAGTTGTTTTAAAAATCTGCTATTAAAAATACTAGTAACGCTATTAATATTACCAATACTCACGTGAACCACTCCAAGCGAGCTTCAATACTTGTGTCAGCAGTGGTTTACGACAGTAGTCGAATGACAGATTCGAACCAGCGACTTTCTAATTTGCAGTTCGCATCCTCAACCATTAGGCTACTGTCGCTTAAATATATATACAATCCAAAATTTATCTATTTTATCGCAGGTTTTTTATTACTTTAAGGTGCTTGCTGTAGTTTTTATTATTTTGAGACCGATGTTCGTTATCAAGAATCAAGAAGTTGCTGTCATTCGTCTATCACAGTTTACGTCTGTCGCTTTTCACGACACGCACGGCCACGGAATGATATGCGATAGGATTCTCTTACGCCGTGCCGCCACTACACGGCAACTTTCATAGAGTTTCATATAAATGTCAACTAAATCCAGTAATAAATGAACTTATTTCATATTATTAAAAAAATAAGATGTTAAAAAAGTGAAAATATTTTACATAAATCTTAAATTTTGGGATATTTAGGAGGCAATGCTACAGTGGGTGCGGCGGAGGCTGGAGCTCGCCGATGACAACAACGATGTGCGGCTGTGAGCTAGAAATGTGTGAACATCTTGGAAATTTCATTCCACTCAGTGACGCGCATCATGACGCACCGCCATTACATTTCTCGCACATTTGTTGTACATAATATAATCAACTTTACTACAGCATGACTGTACACCGCCGCCGCCTCGCCACGCAACAGGAAAATTAACAATTATTTCTACATCGCAATTAGCAACTCTCGACATTTGCAACGGACCGATAACACTAAAGCGAATTTATTAAATGGAATAAATACTCTACTCGACCACACAAACACATATATAACGAATTAGATAGTTAGATATTTCTTCATAATTCACGTGCGAGTCGAGAGCCAGAGATCAGGATCGATTTATGCATTAATTTTTAATCTCTACGTCAACTTCATTTTTATTTTGTATCATATTTCTAAGCGATGTTCATATCACAAGTACAAGTGACAAACAAATACGACGTAAGTATTATTTGTAAATATACCAAAATAATCAAATTTAAATTGATTAATGTTTTAGTTAGTAAGATAACACAAACGGTTTTTTATTTGTATCTGATGCCATGGACAATGTGTATATAGATATTGTTGCGTTAAATTAAACTCGATATTTTCATGTATAAATATTTGTCATTTATTTTAAGCAATTTGACATCTTTTCCTTATTTATTACAATGGCGCTGTAAATATTTCTACTCTCATTATGACAATAAAAATGTAAGTTAACAATAAAATATATACATAGAAGATAGTATTTGTTTTATTTATTCAGTCACACGCAAGTAAGGTCACTAAATATTCGCAAATGATTGAAATAAAATTTGCGTCTTGGAGTATGCCAAGATACATAAAACAGCTAAAAATAGATAGTGGAATAACCAACTGCATTTCAGCCGGATGTAAAATATTTAGACTGAATACGGGGAACGGCATCAAAGTAGTGATCAATCAATCAATCTGATATAATAAACATACCTACAAGTATCGCCGGTCTTCCAGTTCAGCGGAACTATTATTTATTCTGTGCTATTATTGCAAATCCTCCCTACCAAAGGGAAGGCTCGTCGTGTCCAATAATTTGCTTATTAATAAATGAGATAAATCCCCGTGTAGTGGCGGGTAAGAATACCCACTACCCCATATCTTCTCGTGAGTGTCATAAGAGGCAACAGAGGGAAACTGAGGCAAAAGATGGGCAGCAACATCTTTCTGATAACGGCAAAAAGCAATAAAAAAACTGCGGTTGCCAACCCGCTCGCCAAGCGTGGCATCTATGGCAATATACCCCCATGAGAAATGACATTAATAAACGGCCCCTAGTCCCCGTTATTCCTGGCTACTGTGGCGACCATGGTAACGGCGGGGTAGGTGGTGTTAAGAAACACCGGTGGAGGTTCGGTTGCCACCTACGACGACTCGATCTAGCAACTTAAAACGCTCGCACCCAGAGGAGTGACGAGAAGATCCTGGAGCTGGAAGAAGAGATAGACCTCCGAAGAGTTATCCGAGGTCCGAAGAGAGGGGGAAGACACGGTAAACCTCGAATCTGGCAACTTGTTGTGTCACCGGGAGGGTGACCATTTGTCCCAATGAGGTGTCGGATTTATCGGCCACAAGTCTCTCGTTAACAACGTTGTAAAGGTTGGGAGTGTGTCGACGAGGGTGAGAAATGCGTTGGTCTTGTTCTTCAAGAAAGGCGACGGCGCTCTCTTGAAGAACTACAGACCGTTGTGCCTTCTGAGCCGCGTCTACATGCTCTTTTCAAGAGTCATCAGAAATCGTCTTGCATGCAGACTTGACGATTTCCAGCCTCCCGAACAAGCTGGTTTTCGAAAAGGCTTTAGCACCATAGACCACATACATACCCTTCGGCAAATTGTACAGAAGACCGAAGAGTACAATCTGCCACTTTGTCTTGCGTATGTGGACTATAAGAAAGTCTTTGATTCCATCGAAATTTGGGCGGTGCTGCAGTCCTTCCAGCGGTGCCAAGTGATATATCGAAGTGCTGAAGTGTTTGTACAGTTGGGCTACGATGGTCATCCAAATACAGAACCAGATTACGAAACCTATCCACTTATAGAGAGGTGTAAGACAGGGTGACGTAACATCCCCGAAACTCTTCACCGCTGCATTGGAAGACATTTTCAAGCTACTGGACTGGAAAGCATACGGTATTAACATCAACGGCGAGTACATCATTCATTCTTACGTGGTAGAGCCATGCTGCAGCTATATTAGTAGTATAGTTGTAGCACGAATGGGTCGGCTCGACCGGGGAAGGACCACGCTCTCACAGAATACCAGCGTAAAATAGCAGCTTAATGCTGCTGTGTTTCGTGTGGTGAGTGTAGAGAACCAGAGACCCTTTTTACTGGAAAGGAGGCATTCCATCTTAGTCCTCACGGGTGACAACGCATTTGCATTTTGATTGGTAATCCAAGATAGATGTAGATGTCTATGGGCCACAGCAACCACTTACCATCAGGTGGACTGTGTGTTCGTTTGTCACCCTTATCCTATAAAAAAAAACCTTCGATTTGCCGACTATATAATCCTTATGGCAGAATTACTGGAGGACCTAAGCACTATGCTCAATGACCTCAATAGTGTCTCCCAACGGATAGGTCTTAAGATGAATTTAGCCCAAAGAATTAGTACGCTAAAGTGGCAATGGGCCGGCCATACCCATATAGCTCGAAGAACCAACAACCAATGGGGAAGAAAGGTTCTCGAGTAGCAGCCTCGTACCGGCAGGTGAAGTGTAGGGCGTTCCGCCACTAGATAGAGTGACGATCTGGTAAGACATGCCGGAAGTCAATGCAGATGCAGGTGGCTCAGAACCGTGCTTTGTGGCATTCCTTGGGGGAGGCCTATGTTCAGCAGTGGACTTGTGAAGGGCTGTAATGAATGAATGAAAAAAAATTAGATAAAGTATTACATTTATTAGTTTCGACGCAATTATTATAATTGAAGGCATACATAAAACGAGTATATTAATCTAATGAGTGCAAAATAAACTTGAGGAACAATGATAAAATAACAATGTTTTCCACATCGATTTTTGGTCATTGACGTCAGTCTTAACGGAGGCTAACCATCTTCGCAGGGCTGGATTATAGTGCACGAATGTGTGTACAAGCACAGGTGCACTCACTCTTCCCTCGCTCCTGACTCCCGGCTGAGAATTTCTTGACAGCAAAACCCAATAACTAGTCTGGGCACGACCCAGGATTCGAACCTGGGACCACACGAACTGCAGTCGCGCCCACAACCACTAGACTAAGGAGACAGTCATATGGAAAAATACTAAGAACACGAAGGCATGCTAAACTAAGGGCTTTATTTTTAACTGAAAGCGGTACAGAAGCTGATCAGTTTTAGCTGTTATGGAAAATCTGCGGGACGTCAACTTCTTCAATCTTGTAGTTTGTGTCTGTGTGACTACCCTCTCAAGACAAGCAGCTGTTAGCGAGCAATTTAGGAGCTGATAATTTT